ATGCAGCTATCTTCTTCCTTTGCTATATGCAGTTCTTTCAGTCCTAGATTTCATCCTGCAAGTTGCAACTAAGTCAAATTGGCGCAAAGGGGACTTCAGAGAGTCGGGTGTCATAAAAGGGACCACAAATCTTTTGAACCTATTAAGTGAAAAGGTGGGGCTGAAAGAGCAAGCACAAAAAGAGATGTCAGAAAGTGGCAACAGCCTTCCCCACATCTTCTCTATAAATGAGATAGAGAGGTGTCAAGATCAACAGAAGCATAAGGCTGGGTGTGGTGGCTCACACCTGTAATCTTTGGGTGGCCAAGGTGGGAGGATTGCTTGAAACTAGGAGTTTAAGACCAGCCTGGGCAACAGCGAGACTCTGTCTCTATAAAAAAATTTAAAAAAATTATCTATGTGTGGTGGTTCACTTCTATAGCCACACCTACTCAGGAGGCTGAGGCAGAAGGATTGTTTGAGCCTAGGAGTTTGAGGCTGCAGTGAACTATGATTGTGCCACTGTACTCCAGCCTAAGCTACAAAGAGAGACTATGTCTCAAAAAAAAAAAAAAAAGAAACATTATATTTTCAGGTACAATATACTAAAGGGTAAATGTAAAAGAAGATTATATATTTTAGCTAGATACAGGATGAAACAGGCTTTCTTAAAACAGACTATAAAAGTTGCCAGAGGCATGAAGTGGTTTTGGGAGTGCTTAATCTTTCCCAGCATCTTCTAGACCAAGATTTCTCAACATGAGAGATGATAGCATACCCCAAATACAAAAGGCAAACATAGTCATGAATAATCTTAATAAGAAAGAAAAATGGGGGAAATCAGTGTGATTTGACAAAAAAAAAAAAAAAGTGGCACAGAACTATAAAAAGTGTGTCAGATAGGCCAAAACACAGAGTGAGGTTTTGGAACCACTAAAGAAGATAGCTAGCTAGGATCATTCTGTGAAAAGGGAAGTCCTATGGTATGAGAGAACAAGAAGCACAGGAGAATCTCTCTTTTTGAAGATGATATGCATTGCTTAACAGATTATTAAAAGGCAAAACAAGTTTAATTCCTATTTTACTTTATTTTTCTCAACAAGAATAACCTAGTAAAAATTTGTAGGCTAACGTATATGAGAATATAGTGAAAGAACACTCACATCTACTTTCTGTCAATTGAAACCTCTTGGTCCGGGAAACTGATTACCAGGATATTTTCATATGTGGGCAGAGAACTTTTGGTAGTAAGTAATCTTACAGGAATCATAGTGTTATAGGGCAGACAATAACAGTCAAACTTCAAAATATATAAAATGGTTTAAATACAATACAAGCCTATTTATTGTTCAAGTCTAAAATTGGAGCTCCTGAGTGGTAATGGGTCTCCTAAGGTAGACTCAGATACCTTCTATCTCAAGGCTCTGTCATCCCTAATAAATACGTCTCAGGTCACCACGCTCATCTGCTACAGGCAGGGGTAAAGAAAGAAGCATGGAGGTCACCAATGGGAGCTTTTATAGGCCCCGTCAAGAAATAGTACACATCGATTTTGCAGTCTTTCCATTGGCTAGAAAACTGTTGCTTGCACACCGCTGACCAAAAAGGAAGCTGGAAAATGTTACGTCTCTGTGTGTCCAGAAAGAAAAAGAATCAGGGTTGGTAAAAGCTCGCCATTCTCTTGTTGGATAATGGGAGATCTGCCAGAAAACTGTAGTTAGCTGAATAATCTCAATTTCAAAAAATGAGGTTGAAATGAAGCTGAAGGATGTAGAAACATCATAGGCTTAAAATCACTTGGGAGCAGAAAAATAGTGATCACTTTGGAGTCTATACCTCACCTTTTTCTGCATATTAGAAAGACATTTAACAAATACATGGCATTGTTGATAAATGAGCGTGATGGAATCATTTAGTGGATTCATACTTCTTTACATTAATGTGTCCAAAGAATGGTAATCCTTATCAACCTCGGCAATAGTCTCTTGTACTGTGCCTTGTGACTCTGCTTGCCCATGCCTCATTAAATATTTTTATAAATATCCTGAATTTCCTGAATTGAGACACATAAGTGGCTCACTCATTAAGGAGGGATATTGAATGACATTTTGGATGAAAGAATCAAGAGTAGTTTCAAGGCAGGGCGCGGTGGCTCATGCGTATAATCCTAGCACTCTAGGAGGCCAAGGCAAGAGGATCCCTTGAGGTCAGGAGTTTGAGACCAGCCTGAGCAAAAGTGAGACTTTTCTCTTCTAAAAATAGAAAAAATTAGCTGGGCATGGTGGCATGCACCTATAGTCCCAGATACTCAGGAGGTTGAGGTAGGATTGCTTAAGCCTAGGAGTTGGAGGTTGCAGTGTTCTAGGCTGATGCCCCTGAACTCTAGCGGGCAGGGGGGAGGGTGAGACTGTCTCAAAAAATAAAAAAAAAACTAGTTTCAAAATGATCTCAGAAGTCTAGAACATAGGTCAGAAGAATTTTTCTGAAAAGGGACAGGGAATAAATATTTCAGGCATTTTAGGCCAGAAGATCTTAGTCATCTCTGCTAGCGTAGCCCCAAAGCAGCCATACACAAGTGAATAGGTGTGTGGCTGTATTCAAATAGAACGAATTTACAAAAACATGTTGCAGGCCATATTTGATCCATCAGCCAATAGTTTGCTCTTCCCTGGTCTAGAAGAAGAGGCTGAAATCTGAAGGTAGTAAATCTAAATTTGTTCATTTAAGGCCAAAAACAATAGACCTAATGCTGTTCACATGCCATGCCCTTTCTAGTCACAGATGAGCTCCTAGATAGGCATTATTTGCTCTTCAGATAAGAAAGCTAAATCTCAATAAATAAATAGGAGCGTGACCTAGCTTTCACAGCTGGAAAGCCCTTTATGCCACTTCAACAAAATGTTTAAGTTAATTGCTTGTGTAAAAGATGGAAAGAAACTTCATGTGGCAGCACTTCCCCTGGGAAAGCCTAAGTTCTTGTGGCTCTGTGCTTATCCCAGGGTGTGACCTTGAGAGACTCACTTGACTTCTCTGGGCCTTGGCTACCTAACCTATAAAACTGAAAGGCTCATCTAGATAAACACCAAGGTCCCTCTCGGACCTAATAGTTAAGATTGCTATTAATATGTTAAGGGCATCATGTGAAAAGAGAATTGAGACTTATTCTTTGTAGCTCTAAAAGCAATTCTTTTCAACCATTTTCTAATATAATTTTATCTGAGACTAATATATAAAACAATAAAGATGGCACGTTATAAGCCTACATATGTTTGTAAGTTCAAATTTTTATTTTCTGATTATAAAGATATTTATTGACAGAATAAGGCTGATATGAAACTAAATTTTTAAACTCAGAGTTACAAATGATTGATGGAGTCCTTTGAGCCTTAATGACGCAGCATTCTACCCGTTTTGTTTTGGTTATTTGTTGGCTTGCTTCAGGTTGTATTATATCAAGAAAATTCTCATTCACATACATCAAAGGCAAAAAAAAATTAATGGTTTTGCAATCTTAGAATACTCTTCAGAATATAGAAATGGCATGAGACACTTGAAAAACAAATGCATTAACCTGGTAACATAAATCAAGTGATCTTCATCATATTAATTTGGCTTATATGATTTAAAAATGTTAATTAAGCATTTGCAAAACCATGTATCAGTCAAGGTGGGCTAAACTTATGGTGCCAAATGAACCCCAAACCTCAGTGACTTGCTGTAATAAGTGTTTATTTCTTGATGTGTTTCTTGCTTATCTTACACACCCAGTTTCAGGTAAGTTTGAGGGCAGGTTCTCAGATCCCACACAGTTAGTCAGGGCCCCAGACTAATGAAGGCTCCACCATGTTGTAGCTGTACCATCTAAAGCAGGTTGTATCCTTGGTTGCTGAGGCAGGGGCAGAAGCATCTGGACTGTAAAATGCTTGCTGTTTTGCACAGAGGCTGTTCTTCACACGTGTGTGTAAAACACATATGTCACTTCTGCTCAGTGATGGCTAGAATTAGTGTCATGGCCCTATTTCATGAGTTAGTGTGTGACTGCATGAACTAAACAAACATGCAAAAGCACTTGAAAGAACTATGAAGTAGCAGATCTCAAACGTGGCTTATACTTGAAAAACACAGGTTCTTTAGTTCCTACCCTGCAACCCTGGAATCAGGATCTCAGAGTATAGTTGGGGAATTTGCATTTTTAAAATGTTCCACAGCTGATTCTCATTATCCACAGGAAGCTACTGCCATGAACAAGGCATGTTTTTAAAGCAGAAGAAAGGCAATAATTAGATCTATGGATTTCAGGTTACACTGGCTGTAGTATTGGGGATAGATTAAAGAGAGGGAAAGCTAGAAGCTGGGAGATTACATTTTACCACACAATGTATAGGATTTAATGAGCAAACATAAATGCATGTTCTTATATATCATGCAATGTGTTATCAGGGCCAGCTCAATCTGAGGGCCTAACATTGTTGTTGTCTTAAAATATCTTTGTATATTTTAAGAATCTGACCCAACCCCTTCCTTCCTGACCAGTAAGGAACAGCAGGAGGGTAGGTACAAAGTGGCTGCCAGCCAGTTCTTGTTCAATTCATTTATTAGTAGTTAAATTTTTGATGAGATTTTAGGTTAGAATTATTAGAAATAATTTTCCTTCCTTTGCTTTGTATTTTTTTAAAGGCAATAGAAAAATGGAAAGAAAAAGAAGGAAAAGAAAGGGTAAAATAATTTGGGAAGAATCTAAGTCTATTGCTAATTATTAGATATAATACATGCTATATAACTTTAAAATGCCTAATATTAATAGCTAAAATTAATATATTAAAATAAAGCATTTAATATATTACAACATTACAATGTTTCATTTGTCAGCTTTTTAGGTTAAGTATCAAAATTCTCTTCAATTAACACAGCAAGTTGTAGCAACCTGGGAAGGCCTGTTATAGAATTAAAAGAAGAAAAGAAGTGGAATAAGGGCAGAGAGGAAAGGTCTAGAAAGATGGAAAGACAGAGGGAAGTCTTACTTCATGGCCATGCATGCAGTCCCAGCTGTAGACATACAGTCTCTACTACAACCCCACAGAAAGGGCAGGCAGGAAAAGAAGCCTATGGTAGAAAGAGAATGAGAATGTTTGTCTTCACAATGTGACATTCCTTTTTGGGGATTCTGATTAACTATTATCCCTAAAGATTTTTAAAGCTTTGTTGAGTTTTCACAACTTTAGGCATAATTGGCCATAACCCTTGGCACTTGTTCAATGAGCTGGGTGAAATTCATCCCAAAACCCCAGAAGCTGCCACATTCCAGGTATGGAGTATTTTGGGCTGTAATTATATAATTGTAATTACAGTCTTCAATAGGATATAAAAATAGTACTGAACTAATTCTATGGTAAGTTGGTGTGAGTTATTATGACCTAAGTTTCAATTATAATTCTTAATGATGGTATTGCTGGGTCCTCATTTGGTTTGAGTGCCATGCAGTGTTTTTCTGACAAGTGAGGGAGTTAACACTTTTTTGACAGTTTTCAGAATTGAGAAAAAGTTTCTTGGTTTTTAGTAAGATTTTTAATGACTATATCCAGGATTGGTATCTACTAGAGGGGAACTTTTAAAAATCATGATTAGGCTCTTTCCCACTCTGTTGAAAGGCTATATTAAATCTTTATCATACACTTTTCAATGGTGTGATCATGATTGTATGCAAACAACTTATGCTCTTTCTCCCTGTCGAAATTTGGACACAGGTGAGAGTCTCATATTTGATAAGGATTTTGAATGCTAGCATAACTATTGGGTAACCAATTTGGCTATACCAAGTTAGGCTTTAGGTTTACTGAAAGATGTACCGATTGTATCATAGATTCATTCCTTTTCTTCTTAACACTTGCAAAAACCTTTTTGCTTCAATCAGTCCACTTTATTGATTCTATCAGTGGTTTCAATTATCACACTAGAAATTGGAATGCTATCATTTCTATCCCATAAAATAGTTGCCAGGTAGATATAACATGATTACTCCAGCTTGACAAAATTATTTTTCATTCTGCTCTTTCAAGATCCAGGTGCTTTTTATGAGTCTGTTAATATGGCTAGCCGTATAATGTGGACATAGATCTCACTTTGCCATTTTGCTTAAAGATTTGCAGATGCATCGTACTCAAATACTTCAATGTGTTTTGGTTCTGCTTCCAATTTAAATCCCATGTTATTCATAAGATTTAATAATTTTATCTGTATTAAAAGGTATTGTCAAAAAGTAATGAATACAGTGTTGTAGCTACTTCTAATAGTTTTAGTGAGCCAGGAAGTATGCCAGGGAATGGTTATTAATAGAAAATCCATTTGATGTTATCTTCACAAAAATCTAAAGAAGTGAGCTTGAATTGAGAGAGCTTGGCATATCTTAACTTACATTATGACTGATAGAGATGGGAGCTGGGGCAGGAACAAAAAGATTGAGAAGATTGAACATTAACTAGGACTTTGGTCATTAGCCAATGTAAACCAACAAATCAGAGAACAGTCCCCGTAAAATTTGAGTAATTTAATTCATCTATTAAGAAAAAAATATTACAAACCAATGTTTTTGGTTAATCTGGTTCTGATTCTTTTTAGGTTACTGAATATATCATTATTTTTGTATAAAAATAAAATTAGAGGAATTTTCTTAGGTTTCATGTTATTACTTTTCTGCAGCTCATATTTTTAGCAAAACTGTCTTACTTAAAATTTTTGTATTTGAGATAAGTCATCAATATTGCTTTAAATAGTAAATATTGCATTTTCATTGTTTCCACAAACAAAAGAGCAGTGTTCCCTTTAAGAAATGGTGCCAGAGGGGCAGAATTTCTTAAAGCATTTTAAGGAGTTATTGTTTGACTAAGTAAATAATGTACATATACTAGTGCACAGCATTCCAACTAATTAACAAGGTGCTTTTCCAATGAGTTTTTAGCTTCTTTCAATTTTTTTTTTTTTTTGGAAGTAAATGTGAAATAATTTAGTTAAGTACTCCAGCAACTAACAATAACATCCTTGTTCAATAAATTCAACTCTGGAGCTGGAAAAAGAATGAAGTAGATCTCATATGAATTGATATGAAACGGTCTCTGAGATAAATGAAGTGGGGTAAAAATATTTGTACAAAACTGTGAGCACAAAGTGTTCCCAATTGTGTTTTAAAAAGAAAAGTTTACACACACCCACATATACACATACTAACATATATGTATATGTATGCATACAAAATTTCCAGAATACATACAACACTATAGAGGTTGATTCTGGAAGGATATGAGAAATTTACTATCACATAGCCTTCTGTACTAAACTTTTTGTTTTGTTTTGTTTTCCCATGTGCATGTATCCAGTTATGTACTGTCTTTTTAATTTAAAAATTGATCAAATCTTATGTGCACATATGGAAGTAATATTCATTGGGTGTTGGGCAGGTGGTGAGGTAGAGGAGTAGATAGGTAAACTCACACCTAACTGGTGAGGTGCATGCTGTCTGCGGAATGGGCACGCTTGTAGCTCTGATGGGGCGGTGCAAAGGCAATTTATGTAACCAAAGTGTTTGTACCCCTGTAATATTCTGAAATTTAAAAAAAATCTAGTAAAAAATAATTTCCACAAGACCAGAAATTAGTAAGCAAAGAAAAGGTAAGGTAATTCTATTTTTCTGGGAAACACACACACACACACACACACACAACACACATACACACACACACAAACAAAAGACCAAAAAAAAACCTTGGTCATTGTATTTGAAACTTAAGGCAAGATGATAACATTTATCGCTTGGTTAATGAAAGACTGTGTTAGGCCTTCACAGGGATTTTTCCTGATAGGAAATTCTAATTACCTGTCAAAAATATTTTAAAATTAGGTACACTGAATAACAAAATAGTGAATAATGTCTTCATTATCAGTTCCTCACACAATTATTTCTTGCATTGAGCTTCAATAAAAGTCAGAATATAACACTAAAGGTATAATTTGATAAGGTATTTTGACAGAAAGCATGGTAGCTCACGTTTACCAAGGACTTAACATGTTCTAAGCACTCTTCTAGGCACATTGCTTGCACAGTGTTATTTAATCTTCCTAACATCTCTATATTATACTCTATTTTATAGGTAAGGAGCCTGAGGGACAGAGAGGCTAAGTCCGTTGCTTCCCATCACACTGCTAGTAAGTGGAGGAGCCAGGACCTTAAGCTGGACTCAGGGCCTATGTTCTTAATGATGAGGCAATGCTGCCTTAGGTATGCTGACTTCAGATGGCCTTAGTCTATATGGGGATAACTCTTAAGAATGGATCAGATGTTTCTTACCGATAATTGAGAAATGCAGTCTATCTCAGATGTTTTTTGGAAGTAGCTGACTGACTGACAGTCAACTCGACATTGGACAGTCTAGCAACTTTCTAGAAGATAGAATGGGCTCATTGAAATAAGGTCCTTTTCTTTTAACTTAAAAAATCATTTTTGAATAGGTGGCACATGCATATTACACACACAATGAAAATTAAAGCTTCCTGTCATCCAACCCTAAGCCAAGCCACCCAATTCTCTCAGAAGGCAACCACTTACACACAACAACAGCTTATTACTATTAATAGTTTCTTATATATACACTAACTTAACTATTTTTTATATATGTGGATAACTACATATACTTTATACTGTTTTCAAAAATGAAAGCATACCATATACAGTGTGCTGTATCTTGCTTTGCCCCTTAAAAATATTTTTCAAGATTCTTCCATAATCTGTTACACCAAGAACTGTCTAATTGTTTTTATTGGCTGAGTAATATTCTATTACATGCACATGTCCATGTCATACATTATTTAATCATTTCTTTATTAGTTTCTATTTAGAATGTTTTCAATATTTTGCTATTATAAATAGAAAACTGCATCATTTCATATGTCAATAGGATGAATAACAAGAAATGAGGTTCCTGAGTCAAAAGGCATGTGCTTTAAAAATGTTGATAGATTCTTCCAAATAGCCCTATACCCCTCTTCACTCCCCTACCAGGACATAGGTACACATTCTCAAGGTATGAAAGTGGCAGTTTTCAACCACTGTCACCAAAATGTTTTTAAAATTTCTGCCCTTCACCATTCTGATAGAAGAAAATGGTATTTATTGGCAATTATTTGCATTTCTCTCATTAGGAATGAGGCATTTTTCTTTTGTCGCTTGTGCTTTCTGTGTCATCTCTAATAGTCCATTGCCAAATCCAAGATCATAAAGGTTTACCCTATGTTTTCTTCTAAGAGTTTGATAGTGTTAGCTCTTACATTTATGTCCTCGCCCCATTTTGAGTTCATTTTTGTCAGTGTTGTATGGTAAGGGTCTAATCTTATTCTTTTGTATGTGGATATATATGGTTGTTCCTGCACCATTTGTCAAAGACATTATTTTTCCCTATTAAATGGCCTTGGAATCTTTGTTGCAAATCAGTTTTACATAAATGTAGGCATTTATTTCAGAACCTTCCATTCCATACTGATCTGTATGTCTATCCTTATGCCAGTACTACAGTTTGGATTACTGTATCTTTGTAGTAAGTTTTTAAACTTGGGAAGTGTGAGTTTACCAACTTTGTTATTCTTTTTCAATATTGTTATGGCTCTTTGGGGACCCTTGTAATTCTATATGAATTTGAGGATGGGCTTTTCCATATCCATAAAGAAAGACAGGGAATGGACTGAAGCTATAGATTTATTTGAGAATTGTCATTTTAACAATATTAAGTTTTCTAGTCCATGTATATAGGATGTCTTTCCATTTATTAAGGTCTTTTTTAATTTCTTTCAACAATGTTTTTTAGTTTTCAGTATACAAGTCTTGTTCCTCCTTAGTTGGATTTATTTCTAAGTATTTTAGTCTTTTTGATGCTACTGTAAATAGAATTATTTTCTTAATTTCACTTTTGGATTAGGGATATCTTTTTGTAATGTGTCTATCTGTAGGGTGCCTATTTGTAACGTGTATATCTAAAAAAAATCTCTAATCACACAAAAACAACTTGTGCTGTTACTGGTGATCTTTGGGAGTATAACATCAGCTTGAAAGTGCCATAGAA